CTTCACGTTGAGTGACAGCTTTTTCTTCATGGGCTTGTGTGTGCCTGTTCTACAGATGCTTCTTCGCGAAGCGCAAAAACCTACCCTATTCTGGCTGGGGAATCTGGTACCCTTCAGGCGTTCTTCTTGGGGTTGTGCCTTTCGTCGGCCCAGGCACACAGCTGCAATGTGCCCTTGTTTACCGCATGCCCGGCAGGTAGCGGAGCGGAACTTGCAGTCGGTTCTCCTGTGGCGACCTCCACAGCCGATGCACTTGAGCGGAGCCGAAGAGCTTCCCTTCTGGTTCTCTTCCTTCGCGGGGTGTAGACGGTCGACTTCCTCGTCCGGATCCTCTTCGGAGTTTCGTCGGACGTCTTCCTGGTGCACGGACGCACCCTCTGCACTGTTTGATCGGCCGCATGTTTTTGACGGCGCCGCCTGCTGCTTCTTCTGCGGTGACTTCCCTTAAGGCGTCTTGGAAGGATAATTCTTCCTTGCGAAAAGTCTCTGTTGTAGCTCGCGATGCCTTAACCCGCACACGAATCGGTCCCTCAGTCGTTCCTCGAGGTCCTTGAACTCGCAGGGCTTGGCGGCCTTCCGTAACGCGGCGATGTATTCCTTGGCTGACTCACCGGACCGTTGATCCCTTTGTTCGAAGGTGTGGCGCCATGAGATAACGGACACCTTGGGATGGAAATGCTCCTTCAGCAGCTTCTTCAGGTCTGCGTAGCTTACAGACTCTACTGGGACAGGTGCTGCAAGGTTTTCTGCGATTTCGAAGGCGTCTTGGCCGCAAACGCAAAGCAGGGTGGCCGCCTTCAAGCTATCTTCCCTCACTTGGTTTGCCTTGAAGTAGTTCTCCATTCTGGATACGTAGGACTCCCACCGCTCTGGATGTGAGACGTCGAATTCCGAAAGCCTTCCGATTTTCGCCATCTTCGGATCTTCAGGAGACGGGTCTATCAGCCAGCCTACCCCCGAATGCGCACCGGATTGGCGGGCAGCTGCCGAGTCGACGCCGTTCCTCTTTCGCCGCTCAGGACTCCTTGGGTAAGCTTACACTTCTTCCTTTCCAGGTAGTGCAAGGCATCCCATCCTCGTCGCCAGTGTTGCGTCCTTGGCGGGAAAACAGACACGAGAAGCAGCTGGAGTTCTCAGTTTCTTTTATTCAGCGTTCAGCTTACAGGAAGATGGCTTCAGCCTCGCCCAAACGCCTTGCAGCCTCTTATATAGGCAACTCCCGGGTAAATGGGTTACTTTTCCCGCGCCAGCACCCGCGCATGCGCACGGCGCTGGCGACAGCCTGTCTGGTCCCGGGCAGCTTTGCACCTGCCCGGGACTGCCTGCAAACGCCCGAGCCGTTTGCAAGGCTCGGGACATAACACTGACCAATGTAATTGCAAGACATTTGCCAAGCAGCCAGATCATGATTATATGACTGTGAGAATGCTGCAATAGCCACAACAGCCACAACTATAATTGTGAGTCCCTTCATTCAGTACCATCATAACTTTGAATTGTAGATTGGTCATTGAATAAGGACTTCCTGTTTTTCAAATGACCTAGATTGCATAGAATATCTACATTGTATCTACAGAATACTGTACTTAAGAAAAGATGAAGAATTTTTAATATCTCTTGACTTTCTTATAGAGGTCACAAGCACATCCAAAGAACTGGTGCCATAACTGCCTTCTTGCTGCTTTAAGCCCATTCTCTCCTTCAGAAAGAAACTCATCGCAAAGAAGCCCATTCCTAACAATGGAGAACATTCCGGATGTCTCTCAAAACCTGGTTATGTCATTGGACCTAGGGGAAACCTAAACAAACACTAAAGAACTGAGGTGGCTCCATTGGATGGGTGGGTGGATGGATAGATGGCAGAAATACACTTAGACTCCATCTAATGATCATTGATGTCATCCATTTCTGTGGATAAAAAAAAAAATCCTGATGGGCTTTGATGGCCTTACACTGATGCTCTAATATTTATTTATGGCTTTAATATAACCTGCCTTCTGTAGCATCATACCTACTACTTTTACTTAGCGAATATAAAACTCTCTCTCTCTCTCTCTCTCTCTCTCTCTCTCTCTCTCTCTCTCTCTCTGTGTGTGTGTGTGTGTGTGTGTGTGTGTGTGTTTTCAAAAAAAATAATACTTTTTCCAAAATTAAATGCACAGAGTGTTTCCCCAAACTGCTCAGGATGGAAGTACATGAAGTCTAAAAAGGATATATGCACCCACATGCCTGAAGATTGTCCAGTCTTATATCAAAATAAAATGACTTATGCCCTTAATATATCCTTAATATTTTCATATTTGCTTTAGACTTCAATTTGCTGTGTCAGCCCAGAAAACTGTGGCCTAAGCAAACCATTAATATAAAACCATGGCTTCCAAATCATTATATGCATTTTTTTTTGAGTTTCCATCTTTCTCCTCAGTTTCCTTATGAATTTATGTGCACACATATGAGAACACACTGTAATGTTTACAGTAACATTTCCAATCTCTTTCTAACTTTGAGAACGGACTGTTTGATATTCAGGTAAGATTCTATGTAATTTAGATTTTGTGACTGTTGTTTCAACAGTATGCAAATAATTGCTTCAACAATATTTAATTTTCCATGCACAGAACATATTTGTTCTATTAAGATAATGGAACAGTTTGTCTCTTGTTTTCTCTCAATGATCATGTTTCAAATCAATTATTTTTATTGTTATTCTGGATCATTACTTGCTATGCACATTCTTAAACTTTATGTTATCTGTAATTCTTTGTTGCTATTTAGTGCTTATGTACCTATTATCCTGTAATTTACAAGTAAAAACATAAAAATCATTGTGTCCAAGAGTTCATTATAATTTAGAACAATTTTCAAATATAAGCTTGCCTGAAGAATGCAGTAAGATCTATAATCAAATATATTTTTTTTTCAATCACGGCAGCTCAGATTTAGAACAATATTCAAAAATAGCTTGTGCTCTTTTTTCATCAATTTTCTTGAAACATGATCTTTATGTAAGATCTTTCTTTGTATTAGAGGTGGTAGAGGAACTGGGATGTCCCCATGACCACATGGCCTTGTCAACTCTCTTAGACTTTTGCAAAATACTGACAGTCTGGTTGTTTGAGTCATGGCATTATATGAACTAGGCTACTGTTCATGGTGGGTAGAGTTAACAGTTCATCCTTGGGCATCAGGGTTTTTATGTTTGCTGGGATTGTTTGCTTTAATTTTGTGAGCCAGAGTCACTTATGTGAAATGGGTGGCTATATAATTCTTATCAATACTTTTCCTGAGGCCGTTGTAACTTTGAGCCATTGTAAACAAACAGTTATAAAATGAGGAATAGCTATAGATTTATATTAAGCATGTTGTGTATTCTCACTTCCCAAAGTAATTTTCTCAGACTGCATCTCCTACAGAATCCTATTAATGAAGTAGACATAGCTACAAAACCAAATGTTGAAATTATCATTATTTTGTCTTTCAGGGGCTCTGATTCCTCTCATTGTTTTGTTTCCATTGACTCACATGGAATCCCCTGTAAAATCTATAAATAAATATGCACCTTCCTGTAAACTATACAAAGCTAACTGGGGTTTTTTGACAGTTTTATATTAATGTAAGGTATAATATATTATGAGCAAGGTTAATATTTAAGAGCTAAGCAAAGTGTAATAAAATAAAGTAATCTACAGTAGGCAGTATGATTTCCCCACCCCTGATTGACCTAATGGATCTTTTTATGCTTAGCAGCATAGGCAGCAACATACAGAAGCTTGTATATTAACTGCTGGATGCTAATGGGATGTCCAACCATTCCTGCTACACTTGAAGAAGGTTCATCATAATCCAACTCTTTTAGGAGGAGGATTGGGGCTGGGAACCTTTGTTCCATAAAAACCAAGGGGGTCCCTGGAAGACCATTTTTGTTGCCTCCTATGATGGCTTCCAACCTACTGTTGTGAATGTGTGCAATCTTGGAGGCAAAGTTGAAGCTGAGCCCAGTCACATGTACATTTAAATCATTGGGTTGGATCCATGGATCATTGCTATAAAAAAAAAAAGTGGTACTCCCATGTATTGACCTAGGCTGCATCACAACTTCTTTAATGTCTCTAGAGGAATCCAGCCAAATGTACTGTAAGTTCTTGAACTGATCGTGTCCATCAAACAATCACATAGAGAGATTTAATCCAGTAATAAATTTACTGAATACACCTTTATTAAGTGAAACATACAACAATACAATAAATTTGTTATTATTTTCTATCAGTATATTCTACTGAATAAAAAAAATCTAGGAAAACTATGAGCACGAACTAGAGGCAGCCTCAAAAGTGAAAACATTCTGCCATACTGGAATTTTTGCTTTTTTTCATATATATAGCTAAATGAGAAAAAAAAATCAGAAGAATATTGTCAAATTAGTTTTCAGTATGAAATATAGAGTAGGAGTATTTCCTCTTTATAAATGCAAATTCATTTCACACTGAGGTAAGCTCCCTGGAGGGCCAATAGGTTTGTAGGGAGAATGATTTGGAGTAAGCAGTTCAGAAGCTTCTGGCCTCTTGAAATCTATGTCCAAATCATAAACATAATAGAAGACACATTTTGCTGCCATATATGAAGCTTTCCAATATGGTTAATATATGTAATTAATATAATGGGTCTGTTTGAATTCACTGTAGAGATTATATGAACCCAGACATTTATTCATTGCACTATGATTTAGTGAGACATATAATAGGGTAATGCAAGAAGCTCCCTATTTGTGCCTGCTTCCTACTGAATGCACAGATTTAGAAGATCTGAACACCAATGACAGGTATTTCAGAAGTAGGTCATACAATCCCATTATATTTTTTAACTTTTTCTTGTTCATAAATATTCAGAAGAAGATCTGTATATCTTAACGAGAAGAGGAAAATACAAGCAAAGAGGCTTTCAGGATGAAATATCCGTGGAGTCTCCACCCCTTTGTTTGCTCTTTTAAAAGCACAGGATTTTCTTGCCCGCTGTTTTTCCCAAAAGTTTTTTTGTGCTGCTATCAAACACACGCATGATGAATCTAGTGTTCATCTTACATAGTTTGGGCTTTTCCTCCCTTAGTCTCTTTTTTGGTCTGCTTTTCCACTGTGCAACAGGAAGGCAAATGAAATTTAATGTGATTGTAAGTACAAGGTTTGTTGTCATTGCTGATTTTATGTCCTTTGCAATTTAGGAATGCTTTTCTTTCTAGATCATACCTTTAGATTTTGATTGCTCTGTAATGATGTATTGGACAGTTCCTGTTTCATGTATGTCAACATCAGAAACCAACAGCAAAGAAATTATATTTAGAAAAAGGCTGCAGAAACTGAGAAAGAAATATCCAACAACAAAAGAAAACCTATTTTTCACTGAATTCCAAAATTTTGATCTGACTTCAACATATAAAACTGACAATAGTAATAGCATCCATGTCTCCAATAATCTTTTCCAAGATGGTCTTTTGCTGTGAATGTTGAAAGATACTATCCAACACATCTAAAGTTCAACAGGTCAGGAAAAGTTGGTTAAGAAGGTTATCTTCTTTGAAACGATCTGATTATTTCCATCATTTGAATATATGAAGATAAGACCAACCACAGCTTTTGGGAACTGAGCACATTTTCAATGGGAGATAGGAAGGCACATGAACCATAGTCCTGTGGAAGTCTTGATTGATTGATAAAGAATTGATTGATAGATTATGTGCCATTAAGTTTAAGTTAACTTTTAGTTACTATATAGACAGATTTTTCCCCATGATGATATGTTCCTAACTTATCATCACTTTAACAGAGTCCAATGATACTAGTTATTTTCTTTTACTTTCCACATGTCTCGAAATTAATGCAAAATTTTGCAGAAATTTAGATCTTCGCTTAGTAAGATAACTAATCTTGGTCATTGGCATCCCCAGTGAAAACTTAGACTGAAATGTTCATGAACCATTTGTGTGTTTTCTTGGATGTTCACAATATTCATCATCTCAAATACCAAAATTCAAAGGTATTAATATTCTTTTTATTCTCCTTCTTCAAACTCAAACTTTCACTCCCATAGAATATCACAAAAAATACTATTGCTTGCACTATTCTGTTCTTCGAAGATATAGACACATCACAACAACTGAATATTTTTTCCAATGCCTTCATGAATGCTGTACCAAGTACTAGTCTCTAAAGTTATTTTTGGGAGCAGGAAGAATTACATTCAAAACATGGGCAATGTGGTGTGCTACCACCAAACCTTGTGGGATTTTGGTGTCCTTCCCTGAAATCTTAGTAACAGTATGAGATTTCTATCATTTTAAAAAATAATAACTTTGTGGATCAGTGATTGTTGGGGACTTTTGACTATGGGATCCTTGGTGTCTCTAAGCTTGGTTGTTTTCTTGCAGATGTTTCATTACCCAACTAGATAACATCATCAGTATTTAAATGGAGTCAGATTTGCTCCTTGCACAGGACTAAATAGTTCAACCCTGAGCTGCAAATTTCTATTCTATTAATACTTTTTACTGTCATACACAGATCCACCAATTTGTTGGATTCCATGGCATTTTATGTGAATGAATGAACGAACGAACGAATGAACGAATGAACGAACGAATGAATGAATGAATGAATGAATGAATGAATGAATGAAGCAAGCAAGCAAGCAAGCAAGCAATCTAATCAAACAATAATCAAGGAAATTCTGAAATATTTGATCATACCTAACAGAAGGAAATCATTTCGTTATTCATTTTCAGTGTTTCATCCATATTACTTCAGAGAGAGACTGGAAAAGATTGCACTTTCCTGATCCAGAAATTTCATTGCAATTTCTGATATTTAATTATAATAACATGCTTTGTATCAAATTCCAATTTCTCTGACAATTAATATTGTCTCCAAACATTTTTACCAGCTTTATCGGCATGGTGACAGATCTCCTATTTCAAGTTTTCCCAGAAATACAGTCGGAGAAAGTACCTGGCCACGTGGATATGGACAACTGACTAAGGTTTGATAGATATTTTTAAAACATGTTCATTAACCCAAATACAGTATTATTTTAATTCCATTTACTATAGCTTTGTTTGTTCAAGACTGTGCTCAAATATTCAACATTTATTGACTTACAGAAATTGATTTACAGATGATCTCCAAGGTCCCTTCCAACTTTATTATTATTATTATAAATATCTTATCCAAACTTTACAGCATAATTTTTTTAAGATTCAATAGAGCTTTTAAATTATTGATAGGTAAAAATGTTTATTGATTGTTTCAAGATATTTAACTACATGTTATACTACTGCAGACTGGAACCCAGCAGGCATATCAACTTGGGCAGTGGTTAAAAGATAGATATAAGAACTTCTTAAGTCCTTCATACAAGCCAAAAGAGGTAAGAATGGGAAATATTTTTTTATTTCTTTTATACAGTGCTTTTTTTCTAAAAAAAAAAAAAAGGTGCTGGAACTCACACACATCATACAACCCTCCTTGCCTACCCTACAAGGTTCCATCCAAAAAAGGTAGCCGAACTCCATTCTGGGTATTCTATGAGGAAAAAAGCCCTATTTTATATCCAGTAATATTTTATTTGACATGAACTGAAAGTCAGCTCATTTAGGGATACTTACAATACAAAGTGGACTAAAAATTACAAAACTGAAATTAGGTGTATTTGATAGATGGAGTAGTCCAACATCAGTCTAGTTGTTTGAAATTCCCAAGAGATGCAAACACTTCCCCTGTGACAGGGTTGTTTCTTATTTCTTGCCACTCCTTTCCTATCCCAATGGCAGCTTTTGTGATGGCAGGAAAGAACAAAGAAGTCCAATGGAACAGTCATTTTTTTTTTGTACCCTTACTCTGTATCTTTCTATCTATCTCTCCATTTCCTGGCACAGAGAGGGGGGGGCAAAGGCAAAGGCAGAGACAGAGACAGAGACAGAGACAGAAAGTAAGAGAATTGTGTTTTCATCACTCCCTGCTCTCAAATTCTTCTTTTTTTCATTGCTTGTAACAAAGAATGTATGGGAATCAGATATTTGAGCTTTCATTTGAGGTTATAAAGTATAAACCATATAAAATATTTAATATAAACACAGACAACTTGGGAATCCTGATTGGATTACATGTGTAAGACACAGCCATATCATATTGATGACATTTAAAGACAAACATTTCTTCAATCAAAATTTATCACATAGGCTTTTTACTGGAATTTATATCATTCCCATTAGCAATATACATGTCCATATATGATGACATGACATAAATCATATTAAACAAGGAGATAAGCAAATGCATAACAATAATTTTAAAAAGCATGGTTACAAAGAAGATCAGGTTAGCAACTCTTTATTTTTCCTTTTCTAGATTTATGTCCGAAGTACAGATTATGATCGAACTATAATGAGTGCTCAAGCTGTCCTGGCTGGTCTCTTTCCTCCTTCAACCGAAGAAAAGTGGAATCCAAACATTAATTGGCAACCTATTCCAGTTCATACTGTGCCCATTTCAGACGAAAAGGCAAGGAAGCATGTTACATTTTAACTCTCTAATAGTACCTTAACTCGTTTAATAGTACTTTGTACCCTGTGGTGCAGAATAGGATATGATGGCTGAACATAGCTGTGGGTTTGTGTCATCTCAGATTGCAAGAAAAGTACAGATCCTTGGATATTCATATATATATATATATATATATATATATATATATATATATATATATATATATATATATATATATATATACACACACAAAATTAGAATGCTGGAAGGAAAGATAGCATTGTCTCTTATCAGAGAGGGGAATTATGGAATTACCCATAGAATAGCTTCCTCTGGAAATTTGTACTGTTGACCTTTTGAAAGGTTTTAAAAATCTTGCCTTTTTCCTAAGGCTTTAGCAGGGTGTAGGACAACTGATTCAACCAGCCATTTTGCTGGAGCCCACTCACCACAGGACAACTCACCACAGCCAATTTGCCACAAGACAATTCTCCACAAGACAATTCAATGTGGGATAATTCAAGACAGGGACAAGTGAATTGCAGGAGCCTTGTCTTGCTTTAAGTTTAAACATTCTCAGTTTAGAAGTCCTTAAGGCTGAGTGCAATTCATCTCTTGAGTTATTTAATTGTCCTGCAGTGCATTGGCCATAGTGAGTCAGCCAGGACGAGTCAGCCAGGACAAGATAGCCATAGCGAGTTGGACAGGGTGAGTCAGCTGCAGTGAGTTGTCCCATTCCAGTTTTGGGATGTTAACAGAGCCCAGTCTGCATTTAGTCTGCTTTATTAAAGAGTTTTTATCTGGTATCTCTATTATTTTTATCATTTTTAAAAAAAAAAAGATTTGCTTTTATACATAATTTTATTTCATTCACTATCTAGACTTGATTGAAAGATGGGCAGCCATATATATTTGCATAATAAGTACATAATAAAGAAAACAAGAAAAATTATATGCAGTAGTTCAGTGACTTCAGAGAGCTGAATTAGTTTTTGGCAAGGGAAACTGCATGTATTCATTGCTTATATTCACTGTATATACATATACGTATATACACATATACACATACACACACACACACACATACACTTACATATATAACCTTTATTATTTTTATAAATAAGTCAGCCAGCTGGCTTTCATAGATAAGCAGAGCTATGGTCTCTCACTTTCTAGCCTGATGCCTTAATCACTAGAGAACTGGCTCTCTTGTACTGTAGACATGCAACTCCAATATGTTGCATTATTATGTTCACATATCATTTATGAATATAAAGTATATGTATGTATTCACACTCACATATATACATACTTGCAGCAGGCAGTATTTTTTTTAATGCCAAGAGTCAGAATATATCTTCTGGCAGAACTCTGAAACAGTATGAATTACACACAATATAGACACCTTTATAATACATTACATTAAGGTGACTAACTTTTTTACAATGAAAAGGAGGACACAAATAAATTGAAGAAAAAATATTGTAAAAATTGGCTTGGCCCATGGAAGGTCAATCACCTGCTGCGCCCCTGCCCGCAGCCACCCCGCCAGCACCACTGCCCTGCCATGTAGAGCAGGCCCCGCAGCTCCCAAAGCACCAGCTGCACCAGCTCTGGCCCTGGGGGGCAGCCCACCATCGACACACCCCGCCTGCAGCTGCCCCGCCAGCACCACCACCCACCCTGCGCATCCCCATGTAGAGAGGGCCCCGTGGTTCCCACAGCATGGTATCTTCGGAACTAACTAGGAGATGGTGTAGTTGGGTAGCAGGCAGGGGTGCTAAGTTCCTGCCAATTCGCCTTCACTGCAGACAATTTGCATGTGCAAAGTTTGCTGGTTGGGTGTTTGGCACGCTCAGCAGCAATTCCTATTGGCTTTCAAAAGCCAATAGGGAGAGTAGCACAGCTCATGCAAAAGTTGAAAAAAAACCATCAAAAAAAGGTGCCGGAACGCCGTTCTGAGTGTTCTACGAGAAAAAAAAAAAGCCCTGCAGATTAGTCTTCAAATATTAAAAAGGAGGACATGTAGGAGGACACTTTTCAAGGGTGGACAGAACTTACAAAAGGAGGACTGTCTTCCCTAAAGGAGGACGTTTGGTCACCTTAATTACATATAATATGTAAAGTGAAAGGGAGGTCTTGTGCCTTTATTAATAGTACAAATTCCAGTTAGGTTAGCTAAATGGACCATGAACAGGAAAATAATTATATAAAGAGGCCATTCTAGTTATTTAATCATTATTTTTATTTTTTTTTATTTTTCTTGTAGTTGTTAAAATATCCTAATTATAGATGCCCAAGTTTTAATGGATTACTACAACAGGTCATACAAGAAATGAAAACCAAGAACGAACTGCAAAAATATATGGTAAGAAACAGAAACAAAAAAAAAATAACCACGTTTCTTCTGTTACTTTGAAAGGTATTTATACCATCAAAAACTGCAAGCTTAATTCCATGTTACTACAATTGCTGTTTGAAGATCTTTCCATTAGAAAAGTACTACTAGTATAAGCTTCCTCAAAATAAGAAGTGAATGGAGTGACACAAAAGGAAAACAAAAACGTAGTTTCAGCTGAGCAAAGTAAAGCTCCTCTTGCTTTGTGCACAGAGTCAAAATGGCTGCCATTTAACCCATGTGGCTCTTTTACGTGCCTGCAAACACAAATATGATCTTGTACATATATATATATATATATATATATATATATATATATATATATATATATATATATATATATATGTCTTAGTATAGAAGTCATAATAAAAGGACTGAATCCAGACTTATGGCACACCTGGCAAATTTAATCAACTAATATTAGTTATGTGGGGAAAGAACTATTTTAAAAGTGGCTAAAGGGAAGTGGCTAAAACATTGTATTGGTTTATTACATTGTATTGGTTTATTATTGCCTGAAGATAAAACTTTCTGCTGATTTTTATCTGGGAAAATGAATAAATCCATGACTGCTGTTTCATTTACTTGTGATAGGGGAGGCAAAGTCAAAGGATGATACAGCAACAAGGAGATTGTTAACATATTAACATATTAGATTCTTTTTATGCTCAAAGTAACTCCCAATACAACCTTCTTTATTCAGAAAAAACTGTCTTTATTCACAAAAGTCTACTTATTCACTATTTTTTTAAAAAAATGATTTTATTGAATTTTATAGGATTTGGGATAAAATAGGATCAGGGTAGGGTTGGAGTTTAGGGTAGGGTTGGGATCAGGATTAGGGTTAAGACAGGGTTGGGGTTAACATTGGGGTTATCCCCCAGTAACATTTTCAATATTTAGCAAACAGACTATTATCCAGGTACATATGTTTAGCTAACAATAGTTAATATAGTAATAGATAATTGTAGTAAGTATAATAAACAGTAATCATAAACAGTATTAATTACTCAATGGATAACATTCTTCTTACTAGTATGTATTCAAAATAACATATCACATTCATTTCTCACTTGTTTATTTTCCCAACCATTGGTAGAAATTATCTCATGTTTTAAAGTAAACTGAATCTTCTTTTTCTTTAATCTCTGCACATTCTAAGATTTTCTTAATTAAAACCTCTTCAGTTGGTAAGTTTTCATTTTTCCAATATTGGGCAAATACAATTCTCGCTGCTTTCAATACATGAAATATTAAATATTCATTCTCCTTCTCATGATATTCCTAACAAAAACAGTTCTGGTTTGAATTCTATCTGTTTTTTAATCATCTTTTCCAGCCATGTATGTATCTTAACCCAAAACCTTTTTACTTTAGGGCATGTCCACCAAATATGATAACAAGTACCTGGTCTTTGTTTATATTTCCAACAATTATTTTAAGTATTTTTAAACATTTTCTTTCGCTAATCTTATTGGTGTCATATGCCATCTATAAAACATTTTATACAAGTTTTCTTTATATGAAACTGCGTTAGTTAATTTAATATTTCTATCCCATAATTTTTGCCAGTCTTCCAAATCTATAGAATATCCAAAGTTTTTTGCCCAAACTATGATTGTTTCTTTTACTTGTTCTCCTTCCATCTTTAAATTTAGCAGAAATCTATAAAGTTTCTTAATCAAGTTTTCATCTGTTTTTAACAATATTTGATCCAGTTCTGTCTGTTCTTTATAAAATCCCATTGTCTTTACATCTTTTTCATATCTCGTTTGAATTTGCAAATATGGCCACCATGCTAAATCAATACCTTAATAATGATGATGATAAAGTTGGAAGGGATCTTGGAGGTCATCTAGTCCAACCCCCTGCTCAGGCAGGAAACCCTACACCATTTCAGACAAATGGCTGTCTAGTTTCTTCTTAAAAACTTCCAATATTGGAGCATTCACCACTTCTGGAGGCAGGTTGTTCCACTGGTTAATTGTTCTAACTATCAGGAAGTTTCTCCTTAGTTCTAGGTTGCTTCTCTCTTTGGTTAGTTTCCACCCGTTGCTTCTTGTCCTGCCTTCAGGTGCTTTGGAAAATAGCTTCACTCCCTCTTCTTTGTGGCAGCCCCTGAGATATTGGAACACTGCTATCATGTCGCCCCTCGTCCTTCTCTTCGTTAAACTAGACATACCCAATTCCAGCAACTGTTCCTTATATGTTTTAGCCTCCAGTCCCTAATCATCTTTGTTGCTCTTCTCTGTACTCTTTCTAGAGTCTCAACATCTTTTTTACATCGTGGTGACCAAAACTGGATACAGTATTCCAAGTGTGGCATTACCAAGGCATTGTAAAGTGGTATTAATACTTCATGTGGTCTTGATTCTATCCCTCTGTTAATGCAGCCTAGCACTGTGTTGGCTTTTTTGGCAGCTGCAGCACACTGCTGGCTCATATTTAAATGATTGTCCACTAGGACTCCGAGATCCCTCTCACAGTTACTACTATTGAGCAAGGTACTCCCTATACTATATCTGTGCATTTGGTTTTTCTTGCCTAATTGTAGAACCTTACTTTTTTCACCATTGAATTTCATTTTGTTAAATAGCGCCCAGTGTTCAAGTCTGTCCAGATCCTCCTGTATCCTAAGCCTGTCTTCTGGAGTGTTGGCTATTCCTGCCAGCTTGGTGTCATCTGCAAATTTGATGAGTTCCCCATGTATCCCCTCGTCCAGATCATTGATGAAGATGTTGAAGAGCACTGGGGCCAGAACAGAGCCCTGGGGCACCCCACTTACACACTTCCCTCCATGTAGATGCGGTTCCATTGAGGACCACACGCTAAGTACGGCCGGTCAGCCAGCTACGGATCCATCTGGTGGTGATGCTGTCTAACCTGCATTTTTCTATCTTATCAAGTAGTAGGTTGTGGTCTACTTTGTCAAATACCTTACTGAAGTCTAAGTAAATTATATCCACAGCATTCCTCTGGTCCACTAATTTTGTCACTCAGTCAAAGAATGCAATAAGATTTGTCTGGCATGATCTGTTTTTCACAAATCCATATTGGCTTTTGGTAATGACTTTTTTTGCCTCTAGGTGTTTGCTGATTCATTGTTTGATTATCTTTTCCAGAATCTTCCCAGGTATTGAGGTCAGGCTGATAAGTCTGTAATTTTCTTTGTCCTTTTTTCCCCTTTTTTTTGAAGATGAGAACTACATCAGCTCTTTTCTAGTCCTCTGGTAGTTCCCCAGTGCTCCAGGATCTTTGAAAAATATAGTTCAGTGGTTCTGAGATCACATCTGCCGGTTCCTTAAGAACCGTGGGATGTAATCCATCTGGTCCTGGTGATTTGAACTCGTCTAGGCTGGACAGGTGTTCACTTACCATTTTCTTGCCTATCTTAAGTTCTATTTTTAATTTTGTTTTTTATGGCACTATTTTTGATAGGTTGGTCTGTTTTTTCCCTTTGTGTAAAGACAGATGCAAAAAAGAAGTTAAATAGTTCTGCTTTCTCCCTGTTGCTTGTCACCTTCTTGCCACTTTCACCCACTAATGGACCAATCGTTTTCTTCACTTTTTTCTTGTTCTTTATATGTTGAAAGAAGCTTTTTTTGTTATTTTTGACTTTGGTTGCAAGCCTTAGTTCATTTTGAGCCTTAGCTTTCCTCACTTCGTCTTTGCAGGCTCGGACTATTTGCTGATATTCTGACTTAGTTATGTGTCCCTCTTTCCACTTTCTATACTTGTCCTTTTTATCTTTCAATTGATCAGAGAGTTCTTTATGCAGCCATGCTGGTTTCTTTTGAGAGCTGTTATTTTTTCTCTTTGTTGGTATTGTGCTAGATTGGGCCTTTATTATCTCACTTTTCAAAATTTCCCAAGCCTCTTGAGTTGTTTTCCCCTGGAGGATTCTCATCCATGGAATCCTTCCCAAACCCTCTCTAAGTTTATTGAAATTAGCTCTCTTGAAGTCCAAGACTCTAGTTTGACTGTGTTCTAGTGCTTGTGCTTCCATAATGTTGATTTCCAATATTGTGTGATCACTTCCTCCCAAGGTTCCTATGGCTTCAATACCTTCTATCATTTCATCTCTGTTAGTGAGGATTAGATCCAATATGGCTAATCCCCTAGTTCCCTTCTCTACTTTTTGGGAGACAAAGTTGTCTGCTAGATTTGTCAGGAATCTGTTTGATCTTCCACTTGGTGCAGAATTTGTCTCCCAGTTGATGTCAGGGTAGTTAAAATCCCCCATTACTATTGTGATGTTCTTCCTACATACCTTAGTTAGCTGACTAGCAAAAAGTTCATCTATTTCCTGTGTTTGGTTGGGTGGCCTATAGTATACACCTATGGCAATGTTGTTTCCCCCCACCCTTTTATATTGACCCATATGCATTCAGGACAGTTTTTATCATTGTTGTGCTCTATTTCTGTAGAGATGTAGTTATTTCTTATATAGAGAGCAACTCCACCTCCTCTTTTATTTGATCTGTTTCTTTTAAATAATTTAAATCCCTCTAGCTGTGTGTTCCATTTGTGGGTTTCATCCCACCATGTTTCCATTATGGCAACAATATCATATCTGCCCTCATTAACCTGAATTTCTAGTTCACCCTGTTTGCTGTTCATACTCTTTGCATTTGTGTATAGACATTTGAGTCCTTTATGACCGACCCTGTTTTTACTTCCTACATAATCTGTGTGGTGCCTGAGTTCCCCTAATGTCTTACCACCTATTTGGTTAGTGCACTTTGTGGCATTCGTTATTAAGAGCTTGATTTTGCTTGACAGCAAGGTTGGTATTTTTGTCCACACACATATCTATGTTACATGTACTGATAACACTATTGTTTTTAGATTGCCAGGGACAGGGATGTTCTGTATCAGTTAGCTCACTGTCCCTGCTGTTTAGTTTAAATATTCCTCCAGAAAATCTGTGAATTTATAGCCAAGTAACTCAGTCCCTTTCTTTGATGGACGCAAACCATCTCTTTTGTACATTTTTTAATGGGACTAGCTACTGACATCATGACTGATATATTCAAAACCTTCTCCTTTACACCACTTCTTTAGCCACATATTGAATTGTGCTATACGCTGGCCTTTTCCATTTTGGTCCTTATACACTGGTATACTTGTTGTAAATCTTGTCTATCTTTCCATTTTCCTTCATTATCCAAGATATCTTTATAAGTCACAACTTTGTCATAGTTAATTAAATTTGGGTAAGCAAAAGCTTCCATTGTTGAAAGCCATTCAGGTAGCTTAATATAGATTTTCTCCTTTATTCTTTCCCATTCCAAAAGAAATACATTCCTTATAAAATGGTTTTGAAAATATCTCTGTGTTTTATTCTTCCCATACCATAGAAAGGCATGCCAATCAATTTGTAGGTCATGCTCCCCTAGGTACAGTAATCTTTTATTTCTCAGCATTATCCATTCTTCCGGCCATAGTAAAATAGCTGCTTGATAATATAATCTCCAATCTGGGAATCCAAATCCTCCATTATCTTTAGCTTGTTATAACATTTTCACTTTAATTCATGCTTTTTTCCCCTTGCCAAATAAATCTCAGTATTGTTGCATTCAAGTCATCAGAAAAAAACCTTTCCAAATTTTACAGGAATCATTTGAAATATGAAGAGTATTTTCGGTAAAATATTCATTTTCACTGTAGTTATTCTTCCTAACATTGACAGTTGAAGATTTTTCCAATTTTCCAAGTCCAATTTTATTTGTTTAACAATCTTTCATAATTGTCTTCTTTTAATCTTACACATCTTGCTGTTAAATAGATTCCCAAGTACTTGACTTTTTTAACTATTTGTAGATTTGTCTTTTTTGTAAGTTGATTTTTCTGTTTATCTGTTAAGTTCTTTGTCAATACTTTAGTCTTTTCTCTGTTTATTTTCAGGCCTGCCATTTCTCCAAACTTTTCTATTTTCCCCAACAATTTAGTGCTTGTTTCAAGTGGCTCTCCCAAGATAAAAACCAAGTCATCAGCAAAGGCTTGTAATTTATATTTTTGGTCTTTTATCTCCAATTTTTTAATTTCTATATCTTGTCTAATATTTCTAGTCAATACTTCCAGTGTTAATATAAATAGCAATGGGGATAATGAGCAACGCTGTCTTGTATCTTTTTTGATATTAAAATTTTCTGTATAATCTCCATTTAAAATTATTTTAGCAGCTTGTTTATGGTAAATTGTTTGAATTGCATTTATGAAAATTCCCCCAAAATCCATTTCCTCCAACTGCTGGAACATAAATTGCCAGTTTAGATTATCAAATGTTTTTTGTGCATCAAGGAATATTAATGCCACCTGTTTCCCTGGGTGGTTTTCATAGTACTCTAGAACATCAAGGATCATTCTTAAGTTATTTTTTATCTGTCTTTTAGGTAAAAATCCATTTTTATCTGGGTATATAAATTCAGTCAAGAATTTCTTTATTCTTTCTGCCATTATCGAAGCAAAAATTTTATAATGCACATTTAATAGCGATATTGGTCTATAGATTTTTATTTGTGTGAGATCAGTGTCTTCTTTAGGTATTAAAGTAATGTTAGCTTCAGTCCACGACTTTGGTATTTTAGCCTCCAAGAGTATTTCATTACACAGTTCTTTCAAAGTCAGACTTAATACATCTTGTAATGATGTATAAAATTCTGTGGGAAGTCTATCTGGGCCTGGAGTCTTATCCTTTTTTTGCCTTTTTATGGCTTCTGTAATCTCCATCATTGATATTTTTCCATTTAGTATATTTCGAATATTCTCTGGAATTTTTGGCAAGTCTGCTTTTTTAAAATACAGCTGTATGTTTTTCTTTAGGAACTTCCTCTGCCTTCTAAAGTATCTCATAGTAGTCTTTAATGATTTTTTTTCATTGCATCATTTTGGAACTGTAATTCTCCTTTTGAATCTTGTAGCTTATTTATCATTCTTTTTTTTCTTTCTTTTTTCAGTCTATATGCTAACCATCTCCCCGGCTTATTGGTGTTTTCAAAGAAATTCTGTTTGGTCCATTTAATCTGTTGAGCCATTATTTCCGTCTCAGCCAGGTTTAATTTATGCTTTATTATCTCCATTTGTTTCCCGAGCACTTTCTTTTGTCGATCTTATTCTGTTTCTTGTGTTGGTAGGCATTGAAGAGGCAGAGTAATAAACAGGTACTTTTTTTATTTCAGGCTGAACAGAATTCAAAACAAGATGGCTCTGCCCCTTTTGATACATTCACCCTAGGGTGTTGTCAGCCAATGAATGCAACATATTTTCCCGCTCAAATGCATCCTAGTCAGCCCTTGCAGACAGCAAGTCTGGTCCAGCAGGCCACGTGGACTGCTGATTGTTTCAGGGCAGCTCCCTGCACCTGTTCCCAATTAAGCTTAGTACATAACACCCCTCCCCTCTTGGATCTTTAGCACATACTTCCTATTTTACAATATTACACACGTTCCCATAACACACATTATAACAGTCAATAATACACAACATTATAGGTTCTCCAACACAATATTAAAATACTATACATTTCCATTTCAAGGAGCATACATAAGCATTTCAGTTTGTAATTTAAAAAATACATAAGCATTTTCTTTAAGCTTGCAGTGACAGAAACCTTACATAGTCCTTCAGAAAATTAGGTGGGCCCTTGGCCCATTCCGATTGTCTTGGAGCTGCTGCTAGTGCCTGATCTGCAAGCTCGTCTGCCAGGCTCGGCAGACCGGGACTTTGGGACCCGTTTGATATGGGAGAACCTGGATCGTGAAAGCTAGCCTGTTCCGGTAGACCCAAGCCTGTCCATTCGGTTTTGGCTGGCCTATTCCGGTAGGCCCAATCCAGAGTTCTGCGGTGGAGAGGAATTCCCCTGATCAGCATAAGGAGCCGGTTGGAATCACTGTCCCGTTGGCGCAAAGCCTGAAGAAGGATCGGTGACATAAGCCAGTTGAACACAATGTCCCATGGACGCAATGCCAGAGTAAGGAGCTGCAAAACCTTGGCAAAACCCCTGTTTAGTGAATGCAATGTCCCGCTTTCACCGAGTGGCAGGGATTCACAATCACAATTGTGGTCCTCCTCCCCCCCAGAACAGAGTCAGGAGCAGAAGGATGGCTAAGTAACCTCCATTGCAGCTGGTCAATGTGCCTGCACAGCACACGACCATCCTCCAATGCCATTTTGTATGAAAGTGGCCCAGTAACCTTGCTTATCTTGGTGTTAGCTGCTGGGAAAATATGTTCTAATCTTTTTGTTTCTCTCTTAGCTTTTTTCTGGTATGGTGCATAAAGGTGGCTTATATCTAGGTATCTATTGATGACTGATTTGTCTCAATGCCAATCTTCCAGGAATTTCCTAGTATTATTGGATTAGGTTAGTCTTGGATGCTCAGTTTCTGAGTTGAAACTATTGTTGAATTGTTCATCAGTTGTGAGATTAAGGAGCTTTCATTGTACCTTCTCACTGTTAGTTGTTGTTCCTGGATGTACTCTGTGAATCTTCTGCCTGTCTTACTATATAGTGTGTGTTACAGTCCTTACACTATGTATTGTGAATGACTCCTGTTTTCTTCTTCTAGAGCTTCTGATCTTTTGGATTTCTTAGGATGTGTTGGAGGGCTTTGATTGGTTTATGTGCTATGGCAATGCCATATGGTTGTAATAGTCTGTAATGTCTCTGATGTATGACAATATTATTCTTTTCATAGTTTGTGTTGGTTATACTATAACGGAGGGAGTGGTCAAGCACATTTTGACAAAGTTGCAAATATCCATTTTGTTGAATGATTTGCCCATTTGTTGTTGGATGATGTATTAATTTGTAATTAATTTGTTGTCATTTATTGTATAATAAGAAACTTTCAAGAAGAAAAACCACACTAGTAAGGCAAGCTACTGCATATAAAGAGGGAGCAAAACCCACAATCACTGGCATTCCTGATGTTACCTAGTTGAATGTTGAAACATGTATAAGAAAACAACCAAGCTTAAAGAGCACAAGGACTCCACAGTTCAACACTGGAACGACAGATATTCTGTTCTATCAATACTTCATGAAAAGGAAAATGATGTGCTTGGTGTGCCTGGAGGTTATTTTTACAATCAGTAGATGACTATAACAGATGATGTTATTGTTTCTGTGATCAGAAAACTATTGCTGGGTCATTCTGGCAAGATAGTGGCAGGGAGTGGTTTAAGTTTAATGGTAGAATAATAGATTACAAAATATTAGAAATTTAAATAAGAAAGCTGTAATCTTCAGTTAACATGGAATATTTTAAGGTGAGAGCTTTATAAACTTTTTTCTTATAGATTATAAACATTCATGTTCTCAAGGTCAGCTAGACTAGGAAACCAAAGTCATGTAGGGCAATGCTACTTTTATTGTAAAGACATAGTTAACAGAATCTTGCAAGTCTGAGTGCAATTCTCCCTTCCTCCTTTATCTTCACGAGAACTATGAAAGATTGTTTCTGAGATGTTTTGTCTGGCTACATCAGCTCTCTTTTAACTGATTATTGTGTTACAGTTCTTTCTCCTGTATTTCTAGGCCATTCCTTCTGCCCTTTAAACAGCCTGAGACTTTGCGAAAGAAACTAGGCCATTATTTTTCATTTGCCCTATTTTAGTCAACTCTCTTTCCTATATTCCAATAATCCCTTCACAGGATCTTGTGTAGAATGCCAGTTTCTAAAAGGCAAAATAAATAACATATCAGTCAAAGTACAAAGATGAGTATATGTTTGAATGTACAGATGACTGAATATTGTGGTTTCATCTTTCAGGCACTGATACAAAAGGTTGCCTACAACTTGGGATATGACATTAAAAAACTGATGGATTTTCAAAACATGTTATTCTGGAAAGTGTATGATACTTTAAAAGTTCAGGTACTTTTAAGACATTATTGTGCTCTCTCCAATATTTGTGGGCTGTGATTCATGATTCAAAACTCCATACAACTTCTAATAAGAACTTGAATGATCAGATAATTGGTTAACTGCACTATAGTGAAATAAAAGCAAAACCAATGTGTGTTTCCTTAAATATAATTGAATTCCATCTGTCCAAAACTCTAGTCATTTCTGACTGACCATAGTTTCTTTCCAGATACAAAATCATTCAACACATCTGAAAACAGGATATTTAAAAGACAAAGTTCTATTTAAACTTTAGGGGGAAATTGATCTTTGTGCAATTTGTCAGAAGTTGAGAGTATTATATGGGAATGGATCAGTAGATTCAGAGAGTCTCATTTTTATCTAACAAAAGGGACAAACTAGATCCTACTTAAATTATTTACACATGCACAGTAAACTATTACCATACATCTCTATTTTACAAAAACTAAGTGCAGGCAGAAAATTCCTGAAAACAAATAAACATATTCTTTCATTTCACATGGGGGAAAACATGTATGTACCTTTGAAAAGCCTTAGTAAAGAGATTTTCAGTTCACTTTTGCTGCCTGTAACAGCAATAGCAATAGCATTTAGACTTATATACCGGTTCACAGTGCTTTACAGCCCTCTCTAAGCAGTTAATATTAATAATGGCAGTGAGGCTTTTTCTACTCAGAAAAGTCTGTGTGCAAAATAATAGAAGTCATGGGATTATTACTAAGCATAGCTTACTTTTTTTATCTTCCCTTATTACTATAGGAAATTCACAAACTTTGTTTGCCAAGATGGGCTGATAAAAAGACTATGGAACAGATGAAATTTCTGCTGGAATATTTGGTAAATGCCGGTTTGGGGAGACAATTAAAAAATGAGAAATCAAAACTACAAGGAGGCAAGTATTCTTTTAATTGTATATTTATTTGTTTAGCCTGATTTTCAGATTTATGAAAATGTAAAATATATTATCATAGTGGGAGCCTTAACATATGAATATACTGTATATAAAAAACTCTTGTGCATAATTTATTTCAATTGTCAATATATTTTAGAGATCAACTTTCACTTAGACACTTTTACATAGACGAGACTCTATTTAGCTCTTAATGTTTGGCTCAACAACCTAATGCTTAATTATTTCTCTGACCCTGTGCTGTCCTCTTCTTTTTTTAAAAAAAGATGTAGTTTTTATTAAGAATTAAAACTAAGAATTTTAATTTATAAAGGTAGCCACTTCATCCCATGGTGTTGGATAAGCACACCACGGTCTCATGCAGATGCTTGGTAGGAGAAAAGAAAGTATTGATCCCTAAGGCATGCCACACAGTAGGGTATGAATGTAATGTCTATCTAAAAAATAAATTGCCTCATCATTATAATGTACAACAGATTAATAGCAGAAATATGTTTCGAAATGCTTTTTGAAAGTATTTAATTATTTAAATTTTGGTTATTTATTTAACCAAAACATAATAAACAACTAAATAGTACAAACAATGGTGTTATTTATGAACAGATTTCTTTAAAATAACAAAATCAGATGTCTGTATAAATACTTTTAAATTTTTATGTACTGGTAACATTTAAAAATGCACATTAATATTTCTATCCAAAGAAATATTTCTATATATTAACATGTTAGGAAGTGCCCATCTTCATGGTATTTATTTTTAGCATCCTGTAGTTTGACTGATACAATTTTAAAAATGCAGAAAAATGTCAGTAAAGTTTTCCCGCTAAACTTTTCTTTGCTCTTGTGATAATTTTTTTTAGAGAATTTTATTTCATACACTTTTTACAGTCCAAAGAAACATGTTACTTTTCCATTAAAAATATATATTTATTGGCTGTGAAAAATCTGGAAGGTTAATAAGTAGAATACTTTATCTTACATGAATTTATGAGTCTTGGAAAAATGAAGAGCGAGACTTCATTATATTTATTTTTCAAATTCTTCAAAAACTGTTGGCCAAAATGCTTAATTTAATAAAAAAAAACCATTTTACATAGTCAATACATTCACACAGCCTAGAAAGATATTGGTTAATATGAAGCCATTTTTATGGGGTTCTAATACCATTCATAAATTATTCTAATAATTTTATACCACAAAGAGTTGCAAACTCACCAAATTTCTAACCAAGTCCTTTTTCCATATTTTTCAAAAATTTCTATTTTCAAATACTACAGCTCTCATGTTCTTTTTAATCTCCATGAAGGTATCCTTGTGAAACATATTCTGGAAAAAATTATCAACGTCACTAAGTGCAAGAATCGATATAAAATGATAATGTATTCAGCAGTAAGTATTATCATTTATAGCACCCAAGGATCATGCAGCTTACAGACTCTTGCTATGACACAGCCATACATTCTTCTTATTATTAATAATATATTCATATACTGAAAATTGAGCTGAAGAAGCTTCTTGGATGAGAAGTGAAATGTCTTCAAAGAAAAAGAAGAAAGTCCAGTTGCCTCATGAAAAAGCATCTTTGGGATATTAATATACTACAGCATAGTCCTTGTCAATTGGAAGAATTGACATGATCTCTAATTTTTGGTGACTAATTAGGGAAGAGATTATAAAATATATACAGAATATCCAAATTTAATATACATGACTGAATAAGTCTTTTTAAGAAATGTATGAAAAACAAGGTTGCAATAGAATGTCAAATATTTCCATATTTTCAATCCACAGCATCATCTGCCCATTGATGTAGCAATATAAATCATACTAATATTGATAAGCCACCACAAGGATAAGTGGAATAATTTATAAATTGCCAGTGGAAATATGTTTGTTAATTGTAGGGAAATAAGATTCAAAAGAACCAAAGAATCTCAGCTTCAATTCTTTATTTCAGTTATTTCCTCAGATAACCTTCTAAGGTAGTTCTCTTCGCAGTTAAAGTGAAGAATTCTGCAGTTATATTTATTTACAGGTAATCCTTGATTTTCAACCACAACTGAGCCCAAAATTTATGTTGTTAAGTGAAACATTTGTTAATGAGTTTGGGCCTGTTTTACAACCTTTTTTGCCACAGTTATTAACTGAATCACTGCAGTTGATTCTGGCTTCCCCATTGACTTTGCTTGTGAGAAGACAGCAAAAAGCGGTCATGTGACCCTGGGGCATTGAAATTTGAACCAGATCTGAATTTTGATCACATGATCATGGGGATGTTAATACAATCGTGGGTTGTATAAACAGAGGCATAGAATCAAGATCATACAACGTTCTAGTACTGTTGTGTCCTGAGCCTGCAAAAGCAGGCTTGGGACGTTGCATTGGTCCCGGGCATTCCAAAAGCTGCCCGGGACCAGACAGAGCGGCGCCAGCATGTGCACAAGGTGGTTGCTGCCCAGGACCAGACAGAGCAGCGCCGGCCTTGTGCACATGTGCAAGGCATGAAAACGCTCTGTTACTGTTGCTTGTTATTGTACGGGTCCTGGCCATAAAAAGGGGCCTGCGAGCCTCTTGTTTTTGTTGGTTAACAAATAAAGAGCTGTTAAACTTCGCTATGCTTATTCATCATTCGCAAGCGAATGGAGAACACAACGCTGGCGACGAAGGTGGGATCCTTTGCAAACGAAAGAGAAAGTTTTAAGGACTTATCCAGGAAGTCCTACAGAGGGAAGACGGCTTCTGAATCAGCGTCCCAGCCTGCCAGTATAGTGTCGCTGGAGGGTGAGCTTAGCTAAAAGACCCTTTCCCCAAACAGAAGTTTGCAGAGGAGCAAGTGGAAGTATGATGGCGAAGATTGGTCGTTTGTCTGATTTTGATGTCTCACACCCAGAGAGATGGAATTCCTACGTTGCAAGGGTGGAGAATTACTTCAGAGTAAATCAAGTTAGAGAAGATGGCTTGAAGGCTTCAACTCTTTTGTGGGTCTGTGGACAAGAAGCTTTTGAGATTGCAGAGAATCTAGTGGCCCCTGCACCTCTGGAGTCAGTAACATATACTGACTTGAAGAAACTGTTGAAGGAATATTTCCAGCCAAAGTTGTCTGTTATTGCTTGGAGGCATGTGTTTGAGCAGAGGGAGCAGAGGCCAGGTGAATCTGCTACGGATTTTATTGTGGCCTTAAGGCGAGCAGCCAGACCTTGTGAGTTCAAAGATCTGGAAGAAAGACTGAGAGACCGCTTCATATGTGGGTTAAGGAACAGAGACTTACAGCAGAAGATTTTTGGTAAAGAAGAAGTTTCTTTCCAAGATGCTCTATGAGAGGTGACAGCTGAGGAAGCAGCAGGAAGCAGCAGGCGGGGCTGTGAAGACCTTACGGCTCATCAGGAGCCCTCCAGAGACAACTACCGTTCATCAAGAGGACGCTCGAGAAAGATTGGAAGCGGATCCTGAAGAAGAGTTGGATAGACTTCACCAGCCAGCTGAAAGAAGGCAGAAGGAATGTCCAGACAAAGCCCAGCATCTCTTCAATGCTTCAGGTGCGGAGAACGCCACAAGCAAGCTGAATGCGGGTTCCGCTCCGCCATTTGCAGAGCGTGTGGCAGGCAAGGCCACATCGCATCCATCTGTTTGGGTCGCCAGAAGGTCCAACCTCATGAAGAATTGCATCTGAAAGGTACCAGGGTCCCCAGCCAACATAGGGTGGGTTTCTGCGCATTGCACAGGAGTATTTTGAGGACAGGGACACATAAGCCCCTTAAGAAGAAGCTTTCCCTTAATGTAAGGCTGCAAGGGGTTCCCTTATCAATGGAGTTGGACACGGGGTCTGTTCTTTCCATTATTTCATTAACACATTCAAAAGGATATGCAGCAGCAGTGGCCTTCGAGTTAAACTCAGGCCATCGAATCTAATACTTACTGATTTTCAGAATTTTATGGTGTGTGTTAAGGGGGAGGCCACCCTTAGAGTACAGCATAAGGATTTTGAAGGTCCCCTAGATGTGGTGGTTGTTGGGGGTGAACATTGGACTCGATTGGTTCGAGGCTCTGGGAATCCAGGTAACTGGGCTGCACCATTTGCAAATGTTGAGTCTTGCAGATGTCTGCAAGGAGTTTGCAGATCTGTTTAGTTCAGAGCTAGGATCCTACAAGGGGCCTCCAATTTCGCTACAGTTAGACCCAACCACCACACCCATCAGGGTTAAGCCTAGGAGGGTACCTTTTGCCCTCAAAGGCAAGATTGATGCTGAGCTGGACAAATTGCTTCAGCAGGGCATTCTAGAACCTGTAGATTCAAGTCCATGGGAAACCCCCATAGTAAAGCCTCTAAAGGCTAATGGGGGCATACGTATATGTGCAGACTACAAGTGCACACTGAATAAGGTGCGGCAACAGCACACTTATCCAGTACCTGTGGTAAGTCACATTCTGGCCTCCCTCAAGGGGGGGCGCATTTTTGCAAAGCTTGACCTGGCACAGGCCTATCAACAGCTACCTGTTGATGAGGCAGCTGCAAAGGCCCAGACTATTATAACTCACAGAGGGGCATTTAAGGTCAAGAGACTGCAATTTGGGGTAAATGTAGCTCCTGGCATATTCCAAAGTGTCATGGAGAGCATACTTCGAGGTAGTCCTGGGGTCTGTCCCTATTTTGATGATATCCTCATTGCTGGAGAGTCATCTCACAATTTAGCAGAGAGATTAAGGGCTGTCTTGCTTCGTTTTCGAAAAGCAGGCCTTAAACTAAAGAAGGATAAATGTAAGATAGGAGTCACTTCTACTGACTTCTTAGGATTCAGGATAGATGCTCAAGGCATTCACCCTGCTGAAACTAAATTGCAAGCCATCCAGCAGGCCCCAAGCCCTAAATCTAAGAGTGAGCTGCAAGCCTTCTTGGGGCTATTAAATTTTTACCTTGCTTTTCTCCCACATAAGGCTGCTGTGGCAGAGCCATTACACAGGCTCTTAGACAAGCAGGCTCCTTGGCAGTGGACTAAAATCCATGACAAGAGTTTCAATGAGGTTAAGGCCTTGCTCACATCTAATGCTGTTTTAGCACATTTCAATGCCTGTTTGCATCGCCTGCGATGCATCTCCTTATGAGGTGGGAGCTGTACTTAGCCATCTGAAGGTTGATGGGACACAGGTCCCTGTGGCTTATTATTCAAGGACTCTGTCTTCTGCAGAGCGGAATTATGCTCAAATTGACAGAGAAGCCTTGGCCATAGTGGCTGGCATTAAGAAATTTCATGATTTCTTATATGGCCGCCATTTCACAGTCTATACTGACCACAAGCCTTTGCTGGGTTTGTTTACAACTAACAAACAGACCCCACATATTATTTCTCCTCATATGCTGAGATGGTCCATTTTCCTGTCAGCATATGGCTACACTTTAGTCCACAAACCAGGAAAAGAAATGGGTCATGCAGATGGCCTGAGCAGACTACCCCTGAACCAATTAGAGCCAGATCCTGCTCCAGCTATTAATATTCTGTCAATTCAGGAGTTGCCTGACTCTCCCCTCAATGCTAGGGATGTGGCTGCAAAAACTGCCACTGATCACACGCTTACACACGTGCTGACATGGGGTGTTGTCAGGATGGCCTGACAAGTGCACAGATACTGTGTTCCAAAGCTTCTGGCACAAGAAGCATGAGTTTTCCACTTTCAGGGGATGCCTGTTATGGATAGCAGGGTAGTGATCCCAGCCTCATCGAGGTCTAGAATCTTGATCTCTCTGCATGAGGGACATCCTGGCATAGTCAGGATGAAAATGCTTGCACGCAGCCATCTTTGGTGGCCTGGACTCGGTAAAGCCATTGAGGCCCAGGTGCACGGGTGCCAAGTGTGCCAACAGTCTCGGCCTAAAATGCCTCAGGCCCCAGTACATAGGTGGGAGGAAATTCAAACCCCATGGTCTAATGTGCATATAGATTATGCTGGGCCCTTTCAAGTTCAGAGAAGAGCAACTAAAATGATCAAAAGCCTGGAGACAAAAACATATGAAGAACGGCTGCTGGACTTGGGATTGGCTAGTCTAAAGAAAAGAAAAAACAGGGGTGACATAGCAGTATTCCAGTATTTGATGGGCTGCCACAAAGAAGAGGGGGGGGCACGTTATTCACCAAAGCACCAGAGGGCAGGACAAGAAACTGATAAAAGAGAGAAGCAACCTGGAATTAAAGAGAAACTTCTTGACAGTGAGGACAATTAACCAGTGGAACAGCTTGCCTCCAGAAATCATGGATGCTACATCACTGGAGTTTTTTAAGAAGAGACTAGACAGTCACTTGTCTGAAATGACATAGAGTCTCCTGCTTGAGCAGGGGGCTGGACTAGAAGAGTGCCAAGGTCCCGTCCAGTTCTATTCTATTCTATGTTGCAAAGGTCGTAAGTCATAAGTCACAAGTCGCATTTTTCAGTGCTATTGTAACTTTGAACAGTCATTAAATGGTTGTAAGTCTAAGGCTACCTGTACTTAGAAGTCAGATCTACATGAACTATGTGGTATTTACTTTTATTAACATGTGCTAAGGATCTCCCAGTCAATCTCTGATTGACTACCTTTGGCCTAACTGAACAGTTATGGGAAGGCTGAGGGCCCCTATATGGATTCGGCCACATTACACAAGTGCACTGAATTTGGGGTGATAATTTGGAAAGTTTTCTTTTTATTTATTTTCTTTTATGTTAGGGCTTATTCAAACATTTTTGTGCTTCTCATCTCAAAGTGACAAAGTACTGTTGCTACTGTACTATATATATATATCTGGGCTGCCAAATATTTGTTCTGGTTGAACTTGAAACAATGGTGTCACAGAAATGAGACTGAGGAATAATGGGATACCCACTGACATCATGGCAGGCTGTAACAGGGAACCTCTCAGAGTTAAGAAGTTTGAGATATTAAATACACTATATATACACAATTCAACGTTTTGCTATTTTTCTTTCTATTTTAGCATGATATGACAATCATTGCTCTCCAAATAGCACTTGGTGTTTACAACCAGTTATTACCTCCTTATGCTGCTACCCATATTTTTGAGCTATATAAAGAAGACAATGGGCAAGTATTAATTCACAGATACAATAAATAACCATGATTTCTTGAGTAAGATTTTGCATACTGTAAATATATCCATACTCTCACAATGCACTGATATTCAATTTACAAGAACATATACATTTGGAAAAGAGAAAGAAACTTGTAGTTCTCATTTTGTATGTCCTATATTATCTGTCTCTCCCCCCCCACACACACACACACACATATGTACACATCCATGTTTAGGCCAATTCTTTTCATTGTGTGAAAATAGAAATAGGCATTTGTGTTGTAAACCAAATAGAAGAGTAGTAAATTCTATTAATACTATGATTATTCTTTAATGATATATTGATTTGCCTTTCTTCCTCTTTGGGATGATACATATTCAGAAGTTATACTATTGAGATGTATTATCGGAACAGCACTGCCGTTGAACCCCATTTGCTCACTTTGCCAGGATGCACAAAGGCTTGTCCATTAAACAAGTTCCAAAACCTGGTTGCTCCTATTTTACCAACAAAGGAATGTTGAAAGAGGTAAGACATTATCATGTTTCCATCTATTTACTTGAGATTTTAATAAAATAGTGGAAACAAAATTAACAAGAGGTTACCTACATTTCCAGATCCCTTTAATATGGTGCTTTCTAAGCATTTTTCTTCATCACCAAAACTGCATATAAAAAAGTCCTTTTTACTGTGTATTAGAAAGTCCTTATTTAAATGTCCTTGTGATTGGATAATGGATTTGTGTGTTATTATCCAAAGCATTTTTACTTAATATTGGGTAGTTTATACAGGTTTGAGAAGCACTGTTTTAATGTAACTGCTATTCTTCTTCAGAAGTTAAGTTGTAAACTTGAGGAATTCAATATCTCATTTCATCTTGTCTTATTCTAAATTATTAAAAGCCTACTAGTCTTTTTATTACCCCACTGCTGAATGTAGGTTTAGAGTATGTTAGAAAGGACTCTATCTCCTTACATGAGTTTAATTAATTGGTATGAAGGAATAACAATTCAGTGTCTGATTTGTAGACTCAGGTGAGAGTATCACATTATGGAAGAAACCAATTGTCCAATCAAGAGCTAAGGAGAAATTTCTTATCAATGAGAACAATTAATCAGTGAAATGACTTGCCTCTGGAAGTTATACGTGCTTCATCATTGGAGGTTTTCAATACAGCTAATTGTCCAGAATGGTGTAGGATCTCTTGCCATGATTTGGATTAAAAGATCTCCAAAGCTCCTTCCAACCCTATTATTCTATGTTCTACAGAAACCATTCTCTAGAAATCAAATTAATACCATACATATTTTCTGGAAAATATATTGCAGTACACATATGGTTTAAACACAAATTAGTATATACTTTGTATATCTTATCATCAATCAGCCACCCACATATACTGTATGCATGGCTATTAATCTTGATGGCTAACAATTGTTTTCAGTATCAGAAGCAGTATATTTCAAATACAATGAGTCCCAAAAGTCTTAATGCAGTTTTAAAAGCATAAGATTTGTGTATTTAATGTGTAATTAGTTTGTCCACATTTCCTAAATATATCTTTATAAATATTAACATTGAGCATTCTTGCATTTGGCTCTCCTTTCTCACCATTTCCCAGGAAGAAATCAAAGCAATGAGGAACAAAATAATCAACATCTTGAATGGAAGGTCAACAATTACCAGAACAGTGAAAATGTTTTTAAGATTCCCATAATCAAATCACACTTCTTATGAATCTTCTACTAATTAAAAATAAAAAATAAAGTGATTTTTTTATCCTGCTGTTTTCTTCCATTGCCTGAAATTGTAGAGTTAAATAATGTTCATCAGAATTCCATTCTCCATGAAATATAGAAGTCATATTAATATGACTCCATATCATCCAGGTAACAATTTTATTTACCTATTGGTTAGATTACATCAGTGGTTCTCAACCTGTGGGTCGGGACCCCATTTGGGGTCGAATGACCATTTCACGGGGGTCACCAAACAAGGCTGTCTGCCATTTTTTTCCGTTTTCTTTGGCCACGCCCCTGGCACCCGGTGATGTATAAGTGGTTGGGGGTCACCACAACATGGGGAACTGTATTATGGGGTCGCGGCATTAGAAAGGTTGAGAACCACTGGATTACATGAAACTTACACACACCAGAACTATCAGGGAGGATGTCAGGAAGGTTTTTAAGAAGAGATTGGACAACTATCTGTCTGAAATGGTATTGGGGTTCTTGCCTGAGCAGGCGATTGTACTAGATCTCCAAGGCCCTTTCAACTCTTGTTATTCTATTCTGTTCTATGTAACACACAAGGATCCCTGGGAACTTTTGATATTTTCATGAGATGTTGGAACAATTAATTACACCAGAAGTAATGTATTTGATTCATTGATTGATTGATTGATTGATTAAGCCATGTAGGAGATGACCAGGCTAAGCCTGAGGGAGGGGTTCAACACATCATCAGTCCCTTTGTGCCCAGGAGAGATCTTAGTCCAGCCCATCTTGAGTTCTGTTGATTTTTATCTACCACCAATTCATTTTGACCATTAATAGTCCAGATTTTTGTAGAAAGTGTTAGCTTGCAATAAATCTGTATTCATTGGAACTGCTTTGTCTCCTGATTTCCTGTGCTTGACATTAAACTACTCTACAACACCAAAAATTTCCATGGCCTCTGAAAGACCCAAGCAATGGCATCCAATCCCAGAATTGCAGCAACAGCAAACAAGCCAGATGCCAAAATGGATTGAAAGACAATATGAGAAATTTAGCATCAGATATTTCAGCATGTACAAGTCCTGAATCAACAAATGCCTCCCCGGCAACTCCCACAGACTGCTGCACCACCCAGGGCCAAATTCCAGTGGCCACCACACTGATTCCCAAGATTCTTAGCTGCCTATCACAAAGATTCAACAAGATGAGAGCATTCCTAGCTCAGTGAGAAATATTCATTGGCACCATACCAGGGGATTTTCCCACAGATAACAAATTTCCCCCATCCTCAGTCTGTTAATTAATTCCACTACCAGATGTGCATTTCTACTCAACAAACACAACAACCCCATCTTAGATAACTTCCAGGTTTCCCAGGTTTAAACAACACTCTGGAGATCCCATTCAGATGGAGACTGCTGATCAGTGCTTCTGCCAGCTTCGCCAAGGCAACACCACCATGAGAACGTATGTTGAAAAATTCAAACTCCTTGCACTTATTTATTTTGAAACAAGTCAGCTCTGATCTCACAGTTTAGAAGCAGGCCTAACAGGAGCATTGCCAAAGAATTGAAAGAATTCCTTTACACAAGAGAATATCTACCTGGCCTCTAGAACAGCTGAATCACATTTGCAGAAATATGGGCCCTCTCCAGTAGTCCCTACAACCTGCCTCCACAGCTGCCACCTCCCATCACCACCCTGAGCATTCCGACTACTCCAAATCTGAAGGGCAAAGAACTGATGCAAACTGGGGAAGCCAGACAAACCCCAGATACAGGAGAACAGCAACAACATGTTTCTACTGTGGAGAACCCAGATACATGATTAAGGACTGCCCTACTAAACCTCCCAATTGAGGAAACAGGAAGCCCAGCAATGTTTCTGTTACTCACCACCAGGGCAGCAAGCTGCAAGACCAGAGATATGGCTAAACACCATCCTGCAGAAACTCACAGGAAGGGGCTACCAAGTACTGAACAGGACTTACTTGCATTCATGCCAGAGTATAAATTCATGCCAAACTAGATTCTATCTAACCGTCCCAAGCAGTCAGGAAATGACCAACACCATTTTGATAGATTCTGTGGCAACAGCCAACTTTATAAGATTCGTCACAGTTCAGAAGTTCAAGAGTCCCACTGTCCCTTTGAAATTTCCATTGGAAATAAAAACTATTGATGGTCGAATCTTAAAAGCAGGCCCAATCACTCACACCAAAATGCCATTACAATTGACAATAGACCAGAATTCCGAAAAGTTAGCCCTTTTAGCAACTGACCATATTGATCTCTTACTGGTTTGAGAATTAGTTGCCACATCACAACCCCATTATTAGGTAGAATAATGGTCTATTTTCTTTGATAGTCTTTACTGCCTTTCTCACTGCAATTGGCCCTCAAAAACCCCCACCGGCCACCTCTGAAGGCTAACAGAGAGATTCCTTTTTTAAAATGTATATGTTTACATTAATATATATTTTAATGTATATATTTATTATGTTTTATCAATAGGAATAAAATACACAACAGAAAAACACATACATCCAATAGTAACAACAACAAAAAAGAAAAAAAATGTATACATAAAAGGAAAAAGATTTTTAAAAATGACCCAAATTAAACATATAAAAAAAAATCAAACCTGGCTGTATGCTGAAAAGAAAAATAAAAAATACCTGATAAATTCTCCTTCCCTTAAATAATGGGTCTATAAATAGTTATAAACTTTATCATCCTTATTTAACAAAAAATATTACATAAACAAATATTTTGGATGAGATTGATTGATTCAACCTCTAATATATGTAAAAAAAAACACTCAAAAGGTTAGTCCAAATATTACACTAGTCTTCAAATCCCTCTGTTAACCATCTGTTATTGTATTTAGCACAGAAAATCCACAAATGGTTTCCAGCCTCTTATAAAGCTGTCTAGTTCATTATTTCTCATCAAGGCAGTTAATTTTGCTATCTCTACTGACAGAGAGATTCCTAATCTCCCAAACAGGTATGCAGACATCACTTGTCTTTGGCGAGTAAGAAGCCACTGACCTTCCCTCACATAGAGAGTGTAATCTTATCCTAAACCTGGTTCCTGGTGCCAAAATTCCCATCAAGAGGCAGAATCAAATGTCTACTAAATAATTTGAAACCCACTCCCTGTTTGGACTCTAATTCACAAAAGGGATTCGTACAACCATCCCAATCTCCCTCCTTGGCTCCTACCTTTTTCATATCCAAGAAGCATGATCCCAGCACACCTGGCGAAAGTGGGACCTCCCTCTGAGACTTGTACACAACTACCAATTGCTAAACACAGTGACAGGAGAGACCATTACCCATTGCTGTTAATTCCAGATCTCTTAGATAGACTGCAGAAAGCACACATTTTTACAAGATTAGACCTCTGCAATGATTACAATCTCATTAGACTCAAAGAGGGCCATGAATTTACTTAATTGTCTTTAAAATCATATGCAACAGTTTGAATACAATTGGATTAATAAAGGTGGAGCCCATATTTTTCAGATTGACGTACCTGGTCTTTACAGACCTCATTGATAAATTCATAGTTCCCTATCTGGATTTACTCTGAGAATGAAGCTCAGCACACAGATGAGTAGGGATAATTCTTAGTAGATTAGGTAGACTTAGTGGACTAAGAGACAATCATCTCTTTGCCAAGGCAGAAAAATAGGCCCTTGATCTGCAATAGCTAGACCTTTTGGGATACTGCATTTCCACAGGAAGCATAGAAATGTATCCCCAAAAGGCCCATTTCTATACTGGAATTCTTGCACACAGCCAAAGATATCCAATGCTTCTTGGCTTCTTCAGAAAGTTTATATCCAGTTTTGCTCACAAAGCCAAACCGTTCAGCCAACTGACAAAGAAAAAAGTGAAATTTTCTTGAACTTCTACACACCAGACAGTATTCAAAGGGTTAAAAGCAGCTTTTTGACCACAAGACTCTCCTGCAGCATCCAGATCTATTAAAAAGATTTGTGATTCAAATAGATTAGACATGTCAAATACAAGGACTGCAAAGTGGTTTCATGTGGCCCGCGAAGCCATCCTGGAAACAATGAGGGAGCCAATGTACAATTTTGTGGTGGCCATCTATACTGAAACATATTCAGTCTTAGCTCCACAAGGCCATCTGGAAACAGTGAGGAACCAGCCCCTGCCACAATGGCCCTGCCCCCTGGGTGCATGCTGGGGAGGTGTCACCCTTTGTGAGAAATGAAGAAATGCACCATCACTTGGAAGTGGCCAGGAAATGGCCCTTACCTACTTCACATATCCGGCTTGATGGGCTCTGGGGAAGGGGTTTTGGCAGACAGCAGGGCACTCTCCTCACAGCTCCAAGAAGCTGAGCCGGGCGGTGCAAATCCAAAAATAAGCACGATGCCATCCAGTCCCCAGCCTGCCTGGTTTCAGTAGGTAGCAGGGTGCTCTCCTCACAGCACCGAGAGGCTGAGCCGGGCGGTGCAAATCCAAAAAGAAGCACAATGCCGCCCAGCCCCAGCCTGCCCAGTTTTGGCAGGTAGAGGGGTGCTCTCCTCACAGCATCAAGAGCTGAGCTGGGTGGAGTGAATCTGATCAGAAGTGCAATGTTGCCCAGCCCCCAGCCTGCCCAGTTTCATCAGGGAGCAAGGTGCAAAGCTGGCGTGCTTTGCACCTCCCGGCTCAGCCTCTCAGTGCTGTGAGGAAAGCATTCTGCTGCCTGCCGAAACCGGGAAGGCTGGGGGTTGGACGGCCTCATGCTTGCTTTCAGATTTGCGCCATCTGGCTCAGCCTCTTGGTGCTGTGAGGAGAGCACCCCACTGCCTGTCAAGATCAGGCAGGCTGGGGCTGGACAGCCTTGTGCTTGTTTTTGGATTTGCGCCACTCATCACAGCCTCTCGGCACTGTGAGGAGAGCGTCCCGCTGCCTATCAAGACTGGGCAGGCTGGGGACTGGACAGCATTGCACAGGTAACGTTGATTCTCACGCTGCTCATGGCATCCCCTCCCCCAGAACCCACCAAGTCAGATATGTGAAGTAGGTGAAGGCCATGTGCTGGCCACTTCCAGGCGAGGGTGCATTTCTCCATTCCTCACAAAGGGTGACACCTCCCCAGCTGCGTTTCTTGCCTGTTTTTCTCCCTCCCTCATCTCAAATATTTTCCCATCACTCTGTACTTAGGAAGGAAGGAAGAAAAGACAAAAAGGAGAGAGAGGGTCTGAGAGAAGTCCTGCCTTAGTCCTGCCCTGTTGCCCTTTCACCATCTCCTTGCCCCCTCCTCCTGGCCTATTCTGGGGTCTCCCATCCTATTGCTAAGGAAGCTTTGGATACAAAGCCCGGTCTCCTCCCATGGAGAGGGAATGGGCCTCCCTCTGACTTTGCCCTTGTAGCCATCATGAGTAACTTGGCTAAGGAAAGCAAGTAAAGCAGGAGAAGGTAAGTGCAGATGTGCGCCATCTTGGGGAAGTGGGGCTGGGCTTGGTGCCATGGGTGCTCGAGGACCAGACTGGGCATTTGACCTCTGCTGCCCAGGGCTCTAGGCAGCCCGCACCACCATCCAGGCCCCTCTGCATGGCCTGAGAGGAACAGTGAGGCTCCTCCTTGGCACTTGCCCTGGTCCCATCCCCTTCTGCCAGAGACCCTCAGATCTGTCCCACTCCTGCCCAGCCCCCACAGGCACCCTTGATGCGAACATTGTACAGCTAGCCACTCCCACCCAGTAGGCCACACCCACCCAGCCCCCTGAGGGCAACTGCAATGCTGATGTGGCCCTCAATGAAATTGACTTTGACACCCCTGAAATAAACATTTCAGATGTTGCCATCAGAGTCATTCTTCCACAAGAGAGGGAGGGAGAAAACAATCTTGCCTTAAGTT